CCGAGAACGCGATGTCCGCATCCGGCACCTGGAGGTGGGTATCCTCATGCCTTTACGCGGCCTCCAGCATATCTAGGCCCCTGACACTTGCCTTCTTGACAGATGGACTTTGAGAAAAGCCGAAGTCAGAGGGAGCAGGAAGAAAAGCTGCTCATCAGTGCCTGGTATAATATGGTAAGTGTGGGGTCTGGGCTCTAAGATCTCATGGGTAGAGTATTGGTGGAGGGGGTCCTGTGAGCTCACCTGACCCCAACCATACCTCCTTCTGAAGGGCATGGCCTTGCAGCAGCGAGCTGGGGAAGAGCGGGCGCCTGCCCATGCCCAGTCATTCCTGGCACAGCAGCGGCTGGCAACCAATGCTCGCCGTGGACCCCTGGGACGCCTCGCATCTCTGAACCTTCGCCCCACTGACAAGCACTGACCTCAGGATCCAGCCAGCCTGGGCTCCACCCACCCTGGCTTCCTCCACCTCACATGGCGCCCAGCACTGGGCTTCAGCCAGCTGCTTGAGAACTTTGAGGCCATGATCTCTGCCCTTCCCTCTCCCAGATTGGTGGGGAGGGAGAGTGGGAGGTAGGTATAGGCCTGTTCTTTTTAGCAATGTGATTCTTATCGTTGATTCTCTCTCTGGAGTTCATGTGCTGCCTGGGGAGACTCTGATTTTATATTTGACAAAAATAAAGACTTTCAATCTGCCCTGGCTATGCTCTGGGCACCAAGGTGAGGGAGAGAAAATGGGCCAGAGGTTTAGCCCATTGCTTTTAAGAAAAGCTTAGCGGCCAGGTACGGTAGCTGATGCCTGTAATCCCAGCACTTTGGGAAGTTTAGATGGGTGGATCACCTGAGGTCAAGAGTTCGAGACCAGCCTGGCCAACATGGCAAAACCACTCCTCTACTAAAAATAGAAAAATTAGCAGGGCATGGTAGTACATGCCTGTAATCCCAGCTACTCGGGAGGCTGAGGTGGGAGGATTGCTTGAATCCAGGAAACAGAGGTTGTAGTGAGCTGAGGTCAAGCCATTGTACTCCAGCCTGGGCAACAGAGCAAGACTCCATCTCAAAAAGAAAAAAAAAAAGAAGAAAAGAAAGAAAAGCTTGGTTTGCATTCTTACTAAGTGTGCGTGACGAATAGCACCATCCAGAGGTAGGTGAGGATCACCTTTGTGTGTCTGTGAATGTGTAGTGGGGATCACCTTTGTGTGTCTGTGAATGTGTAGTGGTTTTGTTTTTTGGTTGTTGCTTTATTTTTTCTTTTTTTTTTGAGATGGAGTCTCACTCTGTCACCCAGGCTGGAGTACAATGGCACGATCTTGGCTCACTGCAACCTCTGCCTCCCGGGTTCAAGCGATTCTCCTGCCTCAGCCTCCTGAGTAGCTGGAACCACTTGCACATGCCACCACACCGGGCTAATTTTTGTATTTTTAGTAGAGCTGGGGTTTCACCATGTTGGCCAGAGTGTTCTTGAACTCCTGACCTCAGATGATCTGCCCATCTCAGCCTCCTAAAGTGCTGGGGTTACAGGAGTCAGCCACCGTGCCCGGCCACTAAGCTTTTCTTAAAAGCAATGGGGTAAACCCCTGGCCCACTTTCTCTCCCTTACCTTGGTGCCCAGAGTTACCAGAGTGAGCCACCACTGTGGAACGTTCTCAGCTCGCTGCAGCCTGGGCAACACAGTGAGATCCCATCTACAAAAAAAGAAAGAAAGAAAGAAAGAAAAAAGGTCCAGAAAGGAGGCCTCACCAAGGAAGTGACATTATTGAAGCAGAGACCTGAAGGAGGTGAGGGAGAGGCCATGAAGGTATCTGGGGAAGATCCAGGCAGAACAGTTTGCACAAAGGCCCTGAGATGACACCTCGCTTGATATGCTAGAGGGACAGTAAGGGGACCAGAGTGGCTGGAGTGGAGTGAATAAGAAAGCAGAAGGCTGGACGCAGTGGGTGGGTGGATCATGAGGTCAGGAGATCGAGACCATCCTGGCTAACACGGTGAAACCCCATCTCTAAAAAACACAAAAAATTAGTCGGGCGTGGTGGTGGGCGCCTATAGTCCCAGCTACTCGGGAGGCTGAGGCAGGAGAATGGCGGGAACCCAGGAGATGGAGCTTGCAGTGAGCGGAGATCGGGCCACTGCACTCCAGCCTGGGCGACAGAGCAAGACTCCGTCTCAAACAAAAAAAGAAAGCAGAAGGCCGGGAGCGATGGCTCCCACCCAACACTTTGGGAGGCCGAGGCAGGCGGATCACGAGGTCAGGAGATCGAGACCATCCTGGCTAAAACGGTGAAACCCTGTCACTACTAAAAATACAGAAAAATGCGGCCGGGCGCGGTGGCTCACTCCTGTAATCCCAGCACTTTGGGAAGCTGAGACGGGAGGATCACCTGAGGTCAGAAGTTTGAGACCAGCCTTACCAACATGGAGAAACCCCACCTCTACTAAAAGAAAAAAAACAGAAAATTAGCTGGATGTGGTGGCACACGCCTGTAATCCCAGCTACTCAGGAGGCTGAGGCATGAGAATCGCTTGAACCCGGCAGGCAGATGTTGTGGTGAGCCGAGATCACGCCATTGCACTCCAGCCTGGGCAACAAGAGCAAAACTACATCTCAAAAATAATAATAATAATAATAAATACAAATACAAAAAAAATTAGCTGGGCTTGATGGCGGGTGCCTGTGGTCCCAGCCACTCGGGAGGCTGAGGCAGGAGAATGGCGTGAACCCGGGAGGCGGAGTTTGCTTGCCACGGTGAGCCAAGATGGCGCCACTGGCACTCTAGCCTGGGAGACAAAGCAAGACTCCGTCTCAAAAAAAATGTAAAAGTAAAAATGAAAGAAAGCAGATGAGGGTGGGGAGATTATTCAGGGACTTGTGGGCTGCAGAGAGTGCTTTAACTTTTATTCTAAGTGAGGTGGGAGCCATGGAAGAGTCTAAGCAAAGGAGGGATGTGACCTGGCCCTGGTGTTCATAGGCGCCCTCTGGTGGCCACTCTGGGAGAAACAGGCTTAGGAGGCCAGGGCCAGAGCTGGAAGACCAGGTTGGTAGTCCGGGTGGGTGGGTGATAGTGAGGCTCTGGCCAGGCTGGGGGCCCTGGAGGAGTGAGAAATGGTTGGATTCTAGATACGATTTACAGGCAAAGCTGGCAGGGCACGGTGACTCACGCCTGTGATCCCAGCACTTTGGCTGGCCAACATGATGAAACCCTGTCTCTAAAAGTACAAAAATTAGTTGGGTGTACTGGGCGCCTGTAATTCAAGCTACTTGGGAGGCTGAGGCAGGAGAATCACTTGAACCCGGGAGGTGAAGGTTTCAGTGAGCAAAAATCGTGCCATTGCAATACAGCCTGGTGACAAGAGCGAAATTATGTCTCAAAAATAAAAAATAAAAATAAAAATAAAGGCAAAGCTGGTAAGATTTGCTGCTGGGTTGGTGTGGCCGCTGGGTTGATGTGATGGCCTGTGGTGGGAAGAGGAATCCACATGACTTCTTTTGGCCTCAGTACCTGGAAGGACAAAGCTAACGCACAGGGTGTGGCAGATTGGGGGGCTGATTAGGAGCTGGATTTCAGGTGTGTTATGTTTGAAGCGTCTGTGAGATCTCTGCAAGGAGACATCTAAGAGGCAGTTGGCTTTCTGGGTCTACAGTTAGAGAAGGGATCCTGGCTGAATTTTTGTTTTCTTTCTTCCTTCTTCTTTTTCTTTCCTTTTCTTTCTTTTCTATTTTAGATGGGGTCTCACTCTGTAGCCGCCCAGGCTTGAGTGCGGTGGCACAATCTCACTGCAACTTCTGTCTCTCAGGTTCAAGCGATTCTCCTGCTTCAGCCTCTGAGCAGCTGAGATTACTGGTGCCCACCACCTCGCCTGGCTAATTTTTGTTTTTAGTAGAGACGGGCTTTTACCATGTTGGCCAGGCCTGTCTTGAGCTCCTGACCTCAGATGATCCACTTACCTCTGCCTCCCAGCTGAGATTACAGGCATGAGCCCCGCCATGTCAGGCCTTTTTTTTTTTTTTTTTTTTTTTTTTTTTTGAGACAGGGTCTCACTGTGTTGCCCAGGCTGGAGTGCAGTGGCGTGATCATAGCTCACGGCCTTGGCTGGACTTTTATATTCAGGACTCATCAGGAGTCCGTGTGATTAAATTAGTAAAACCTGAAGCCCAGAGGGCCTGAGAATGCTGTGGCTTGAGGGAGGAAGAACCCATGATCCTGGGACAGTGGCTGCCTCATTAATGAGTAATGCCAGGGCACTGATGTGGGTATTTCAGAGAGCAGAGTTTGGGAAGAAGTAAGCAGGGCACCATCATAAAACCTGGAAGAGGTGAAACCCTGTCTCTGCTAAAAATACAAAAAAAAAAATTAGCCAGGTGTGGTGGTGTGCACCTGTAATCCCAGTTACTCGGGAGGCTGAGGCATGAGACTCCCTTGAACCAGGGAGGTGGAGGTTGCACTGACCCAAGATCGTGCCACTGCACTCCAGCCTGGGTAATGAAGTGAGACTCTGTCTCAAAGAAAAAAACAACCAAACCTGGAATAAGCTGGGCATGGTGGTTGTGGTGGAGGAGGAGGAAGAGGAGGAGGAGGAGAAGGAAGAAGAAGAAATCTGTGGCCAGGCTTGATGGCTCACACCTGTAATCCCAGCACTTTGGGAGGCAGAAGCAGGTGGATCACCTGACGTCAAGAGTTCAAGACCAGCCTGGCCAACATGGTGAAACCCTCTCTCTACTAAAAATACAAAAAAATAGCTGGGCGTGGTGGTGCGTGCCTGTAATCCCAGATACTTGGGAGGCCGAGGCAGGAGAATTGCTTGGGCCCTGGAGGCAGAGGTTGCAGTGAGCAGAGATCACACCATTGCACTCCAGGCTGGGTGACAGAGGGAGACTCCATCTCAAAAATAAATAAATAAATAAATAGAAATAAATAAATAAATAAATAAGAAACCTGCAAGAACTCCCACATTTTACTTAGGACAATGGATAATGCCTGACAGGAGAAATCAGACTAGCAACGTTTGAATAAAAACAACTAGCAATTTATTGAGCACCTACTGTATACCAAATGCTTTAATGCCATTCTTTCATCCTCATGACAACTCGATGAGATAGTCACATCTTCACTTAAAGGAAAGAATTCAGGCAGAACATTGATGAAGACCTCTCAGGCAGTGGGGGTTGGGAAGTAGAGATGGTGGTAAGGGTGGGCTGGTCCAAGAGTCTGGAAGAACTCTCGCCCCTAGCACAGCGCCAAACCCAGGCAGGCAGCGAGAGCTGGTCAAAAGTGTAGGTGGACTTTACAAAGGCACAGGAGGCTTATGCAGACCGGGACACCTGCCTGTGTGCCGTGCAGGGACCTGGTTCCCTGTCCTTAGGCGGCTGGGCTCTAAGATCTTAGGCCAGATTCTCCTCCTCCTCGCCAATAGGGCTGGGCAGCCAGGGTGGCGCCGGACCCCGGGATCCGGGCATGGTCACGATGCTGAAGGGCTCGACAGGCCCAGGGATGAGGGCAACCGGTTCAGGACCCGCAGGGGGCGGAGGCTCGGGCTCCGGCAGGCCAGGATCGAGCAGCGGGTCTCCGCAGCTGCACTCCGGGGCCGCGCCTTCGGGGACAACCGCGCATGAGCAGCTGGCCCCGGTAGACGCCTCTGACACCCAGCTGTTCTTGCGGAGTAGAAAGGACAGGCGCCGGCCCAGGTGGCCTCCCGCGGCCATGCCCGCGCCCGCCGGCAGGAGGCGCTGCAGGAAGTCGCCGGGCGCCTCGCCCATCGGCCCATCCAAGCCGTCTAGCCGCTGAAACTGCATGTCTTCTTTGGCCAGCCTGCGGGACCAACATTGGGCCAGCGCTGCAGCCTCGCTTCTTGTTGACAGAGCGGGGTCCCAGGCATTTCCCTGACTCCACCCACTCTTTTGTCCCACTTATCCCCAAAGAACTTTTCCCCAAAGACCTTAGCTCCTAAACCCAGAGCCTGGCCTCACCCTCTGTTGCCACTTCAACTTGGATCTCAAACCTCAGCTGTGGCTCAGCCCCATTTCCTTTTTAATTTTAATTTAATTTAATTTAATTATTTCTGTAGATGGAGTCTCGCTCTGTTGCCCAGGCTGGAGTGCAGTGGCGTGATCTCGGCTCACCACAACCTTCACCTCCTGGGTTCCTGCCTCAGCCTCCCGAGTACCTGAGACCACAGGCGCGTGCCACCACACTGGCTAATTTTTGTATTTTTAGTAGAGACGGGGTTTCACTATGTCGGCCAGGCTAGTCTTGAACTCCTGACTTCGTGATCTGCCCACCTTGGCCTCCCAAAATGCTGGGATTACAGGCGTGAGCCACTGCACCCGGCCTATTTTTATTTTTTGAAATGGCGTTTTACTCTTTTTGCCCAGGCTAGAGAGCAATGGTATAATCTCGGCTCACTGCAACCTCTGCCTCCTGGGTTTAAGTGATTTTCCTGCCTCAGCCTCCGGAGTAGCTGGGATTACAGGCGTGAGTCACCAAGGCCGGCCAGTTTTGTATTTTTTTTTTTTTTTTTTTTTTTTGAGACGGGGTCTCGCTCTGTCGCCCAGGCTGGAGTGCAGTGGCGCGATCCCGGCTCACTGCAAGCTCCGCCTCCCGGGTTCACGCCATTCTCCTGCCTCAGCCTCCCAAGTAGCTGGGACTACAGGCGCCCGCCACCTCGCCCGGCTAGTTTTTTTGTATTTTTCAGTAGAGACGGGGTTTCACCGTGTTAGCCAGGATGGTCTCGAACTCCTGACCTCGTGATCCGCCCGTCTCGGCCTCCCAAAGTGCTGGGATTACAGGCAGTTTTGTATTTTTAGTAAAGACAGGGTTTCACTATGTTGGCCAGGCTGGTCTCAAACTCCTGACCTCAAGTGATCCACCTGCCTTGGCCTCCTAAAGTGCTGGGATTGAAGGCATTAGCCACCACGCCTGGCCTTTATTTTTATTTTTTTAGAGACAGGCTCTTGCTCTGTTGCCCGGGCTGGAGTGCAGTGGTGTCATTATGGCTCACTGCAGCCTTGAACTCCAGGACTCAAGCGATCCTCCCACCTCAGCCTCCTGAATAACTGGGACTACAGACACGCACCACCATGCTTGGCTAATTTTTTATTTTTAGTAGAGACAGGGGTCTCACTATGTTGCCCAGGCTGGGCTGAACTCCTGGGCTTGCTCAAAGGATCCTCCCGCCTCGGCCTCCCAAAGTACTGGGATTATAGGCGTGAGCCACTGCTCCTGGCCTCAGCCCTCATCTCCTTTGGAATCACCTCTGACCTGTCTCATCCTCACTGACCTCAGCCCTTAGCTTCGTCCCCAGTCAGTGGCCTGGTCTCAGACCTTGACCTTGTCCCCTGACTCCTATCTTAGTTTCTTCCCTTATCACAGTCCTGAGACTTTCGATCTTATCCCCATCTCTAGAATTGAGTCCCTTTAACCTTTTCAAGCCATAAGCCCTGCCCACCCAACTGGCTCACGTGATGTCGAAGGTGGAGCCCTGGAAGGAAGGTTGCCGCAGCTGGAAGACAGTAGCTGCTGTGTAGGGGGCGCGAGCCTCCGCCGCATCCCAGTACAAGTCCTTCTCCAGCACAGCCAGGTCATCATACATCTCGTCCACTGCCAGCATGGACACCTACGGGTGCAAACACACACGGTAAGGTGGGAGCAGGGCAACTCGCTAGGACCACAGAGGGAAGTATGGTTTGGGGCAAGACCCGGCAAGACTTGGCAGGGGTGGGACCAGAACCCTGTTGGGCACCCCAGGATGGTCGCCACCTGGAAGTCTCACCTGGAACCTGAGTCTTACCTGGAAGTTTCGATCGATCAGAAAGTTGGTCTCAAAGTCATCGTCGTCCTCTCCGAAGGGGTTGATGAGCTGCTCAGCTACCTGAGAGGAGAGGGAGGAGTTAGGTGGAAACTTGGGAACCCCATGTCCGCCCCACCCACGAAATTCCAGGCTGGATCACCCACCTACCTTGAGCCAGCCGGCATAGAAGAAGAACTGCAACAGGGTGAAGATGGGCACACACAGGTCTAGGTCATGGTCTTTGTAACCCTGAGCTGGGTCCAGGAACTGGCGACCAATGAGGCAAGCCAGGAAGTAGCTGTACAGTGCGATGGTCACCACCTGGGCAGGGCGGGGCAGGGCTCAAGGGGGTCATTGAGGGCCAAGGCTAGGATTGGGCATCATTATGATGGGGGTCTTAGCTAGTTCTCAGTTTCCCCTTGGAAACCATGCATCAGGGCCACTGACACCGAATATAAACAGAGGCACGATGGGGTTACCTGCGTGTAGACGAGGGGTACGCTAATCCAGTCGTAGTGAAAGAGCATTCCACATTTGCCCCGAAACACATTCAGCTCCTGGGGGTGGATACAGATCATGAGGAGGCCTGAATGGTGAGCTCACACAGGGATATTAAGTGTGGGTACCTGGGATGGAGGTGGGTGGGAATTGGGAGTGTGCTTTGGGGGTTTCAGGGAGGGCATTTGATGGTGAGTGTGTACCTGGATGAGAGACCATGCACCCAGGGGTTGTCCCTCAAGGGCGTTGGAATCTGCCCCATGGAGGTAAGTGTGCACCTGGTGAGGGTGTTTGAAATCGGTCTCGTGGGGGGTGCATGGTGGGCCGCCGTTGACACAGCTCCAGGGGTACAATTTCCCGGGTATTCTATACGAATGACCTCCTGGTGGGCCCACCTCGAGCAGCAGCTTAAGGGCGCTGTTGTCGCGGATGCGGCCCTCGCGCCGGGCCTGCGCCGCCAGGTTGGAGAACCAGACGCAGGGCACCCAGTACTTGTTGTAGGACGAGTTCAGGTTTTCGAACTTCTTGCGCTCCTCGCGGGTCATAAACCCTGGAGGAAAGAGGTCAGGGATAGCTAGCCCCTTGCCCCCCTCCACCGGCTCCTTGCCCGGTCTCTGCCCTGCCTCTGGCTGAGTACCTACCAGCCTCCACCACGTGGTCTATGGTGGGAAAGCGCTTGAACACCGCGGTGCTGACAGAGCGCAGGATGAGCACGGCCGAGAGCCCTGCGTAGCGCATGAGTGTGCGCCGGTAGAGGCGGCCGCGATCGTCGCGTCCGTGCACGGTGCCCGCCACCACGCACATGAGCGCGTCGGGCAGCGGCATGCATAGGTACTGGCTCCACCAGCGGTTCACCACCAGCGTCACATAGAAGCCTGCGGGGCAGTGGAATGGGGGCTCAGTGGGGACACCAGGGCCAGGGGTTTGGGGGCCCAGGTTGTGGGAGAAGGGGCAACATAAGGTCTGCATCAGGGAAACACAAGCCTGCTGGCCAACCTCACCACGCTTGGGCTGAGAACTTGGGGGTCCAGCCCTGAGGTCAGAAAGGCCAGTTGCCCAGCGCGGTGGCTCACGCCTGTAATCCCAGCTCCTTGGGAGGCTGAGGAGGGCGTATCACGAGGTCAGGAGTTCGAGACCAGCTGGCCAGCATGGTGAAACTCCGTCTCTACTAAAAATACAAAAATTAGCCGGGCATGGTGGCGCACCTGTAGTCTCAGCTATTCGGGAGGCTGAGGCAGGAGAATCACTTGAACCCAGGAGGTGGAGATTGCAGTGAGCTGAGATCGCACCGTTGCACTCCAGCCTGGGCAACAAAACGAGACTCCATCTCAAAAAAAAAAAAAAAAAAGCAGAAAGGCAGAGCATCCCTTTAGGTCACTGGCTACTTGGGAGTCACCTCAGATGTGACATTGGGATCCCAGTATGGGGACAGAAGCACAGAGCCCATGTTAGGGGCATGTGGGCAGACTGTCGCTTGCTGTGAATGCATAGGGACCTAAAACAAGGGGAGAGGGGTCTGGTTTGTGGGGGTGTACATCAGGGACACCTGGTCAAGCTTGTGGCAATAGCCATACCCAGCTCCTGAACCAGGAACTTCTGAAGGGGTTGGGGACAGGGTCTACATCAGGGAGCCTTGGGCAGGCTCGGGTCACATGTGGTCCCTGGGGGGCCAGGACTTTTCAGAGAAATGCCCCCAGGCTGGAATTGAGAGGATGAAGTCCTATGGGGTCCCTGGAGGGTTAGGGGTTTGTCCCCACTAGTAACACAACAGACACTGGTGAGAATCCCCAGGGTGACCAGGAATAAGCCCTGTGGGTGAGATGGGGCTCTCTTGGGGGCACCTCAGGAGGCACTGTGACCCCAGGTGACACCTCAGGTCCCAGAGTGTAGGGCCACATCTGGCATCTTCATCATATGGATCCAAAATTGGGGGGGTACTGTGGGGGTTGGATTTGAGGCAGGAGTCTCAGAGGGGCAGGAATGGGGGCTCCTCAAAAGGCATGAAGGGATATGGGTTTCTCAGGGACATGGGAACAGGGGATTTGGGGGTTGGACCGCACCAAGCACGAAAGAGACAGGGATGAGGCTGGCATACTGGTCACAGTAAATGACAAGCTTCTCGAAGTAGCGCTTCTGCCCTTCGGTCAGCACAAAGCTGCGGGATAGAGATGAGGGGTCACAGGTCACAGGGGTGACTCCATTCCCAGCTTCAGATCTCTCTTGCTGTGCCCCTCACCCTGGCTTCTTTTATAATAGCTGCCCCCAGCTGGGTGCTGTGGGTCACGCCTGTAATTCCAGCACTTTGGGAGGCCGAGGCAGGATGATCACTTGAGGTCAGAAGTTTGAGACCAGCCTGGCCAACACGGTGAAACCCCGTCTCTACCAAAAGTACAAAAAAATTAGCCAGGCATGGTGGCTGGCACCCGTAATCCTAGCTACTGGGGAGGCTGAGGCCGGAGAATCGCTTGAACCTGGGAGGTGGAGGTGGCAGTGAGACGAGATTATGCCACTGCACTCCAGCCTGGGTGACAGGGCAAGACTCCATCCCAATTAAAAAAAAAAAGTATATATAAAATATATAAAAATTATATATTATATTATATTGTATATTATATATTATATATAGTATATATTATACATATAGATATATACCTATATATGTATATATTATATATGTGTGTATATATGTGTGTATATATCTATATAATATATATAGAATAGCTGCCCCCCTCCCCTAGCACATGAGCACCCCGGGGCAGCCTCACCGGTAGGCAGCACTCAGCGCCATGTAGAACCCGAGGAAGCAGAGCAGCTCTCGCCACAGGAGTTTGTAGATGCTCCCACGCCACAGCAGCAGCAGCTGGGAGAAGCCACCGAAGCGGGCATTCGCCACTCGGGCTGTGTAGGTGACGGTCATCGTGGCACCCGGCAGGTGTGGCCAAAGGGAGAGGGGGTGGCCCGGGTGGGGGCTGCGGGTGGGGGTGAAGAGGTGCGGGGATAACTGAGCACAGGGATTCCACCCGTGTTCCGGCCGGCCACCCCTTCAGTCCTGACCCTTGCCTGAGTTGCCTTCTCCTCCCAGCTTTACTCAGTCTAGTCCAGCCCCCAGTGCCACTCCCTGACCCGTGTCTCAGGCTGTCCCCTTCCCTAGACTCCTGGCCCCAGGCTCTGGTACCTGCCGTCCCCCACCACCAAGACCCTTGAGTCCCTGCAGTCAGCTCCTGAGTCACCCTTTCCCCGATCCCTTTCACTTAGAGGCCACCTGTAGCATCCCCCACTCCGCGAGTCCCCAGCGCCTGAGTTTCTAGGTTCTCAAGGCTCCACCTCCCCCAAATTCTCTCCCTCAGCCCCTATTTCTGTCTCCCCCTTTTCCACTTCCCCAGCTCCAAGTCTTGACCCATTCCACTCCCTGCACTCCCTCTGAAGCCCTGTCCCTAAGCCTCCAGGTCCCCTAGTCCCCTTACCCCAGCCTGTCCACCTTCCGCTTAATGGCCCTGGCTCCCCCTACTCCCTTTTCCTCCCGGATCCTCCTTGACCTTTCCTCTCTCCATTCCCCTCCAGCCTTCCAAGCCCTCCACTCCCCACCCCGGGAGGACTCCGGATGCATTCCTGCCCGCAGGTTCCCTATTCCCTCAGGGCCCCCTATTTCCCCAAGCCTGGGCTCATCTCACCTGTGTTGAAGGTGGCCGGTGCAGGGACCCACAGGGACAGGGATGGAATGGGCGGGTGGCTTTGGCGTTGGGTGGGGCTGGGGAGTGGGTGTGCCCCCCTTTCCTGGTTCTCCTCCCTCGGCTGGGCTGCAGCTTCAGAACTTTGTTTGGAGTCCCACAAGTTTGTTACCTGGCACTGGGGGAGAAATCCGCCTTGTCCTCCTTTGCCCCTCCCTATTCCCCTCCCAGTCACTCAGTGGCAGGTCGTAAGGATCTGGAACCCAGAGGCTGGGGGAGGAAGCAGGGATGGTGGACACACACACACTGCTCAATGAGGCTGGGTCACTCCACAGTCACCTGTAATCACAGTGTCACAGAGATGCACTCAGAAACACACATCATAATTCCAGACACAAATCTAGCTGCTCTTAAGACAGCCTCAGCCAGGCACAATGGCTCACGCTTGTAATTTGAGCACTTTGGGAGGCTTAGGTGGGAGGATCACTTGAGCCAGGAGTTCAAGACCAGCCTGGGCAACATAGTGAGATCCCCATCTCTATTGAAAAAACGAAAAGACAGTCTCACATAACTATGGTGACTCAGAGGGGCAGTACACACTGTCACAGAACCTTCCAGAGTCACACAAGGTACACCTACCTCAACCCCCCTGCCCCCATCATGCATATATAAGGCAGGTGGACCCTGACATACTAGGCTCTCCCCTCTCACACACACAGTGCTACCAACGGTCTGGATTCCCTCATAATCATACCGTGTAACAAAGACACCCACACAACCAGCCAAGCACAGACCCCACCCAGACCTCAGAATGCCTTCACACACACAGTCATACACCACTGCAAGGAGGTTTTATTCCTGATCTCCTCTGTGCAAAGATACACCCATGATCACACACCAAACGAAAAACCCTTTCCTCAGTGTGGTGGCACACAATCCCAGGCTCAGAGAGGGGCCTGAGGTTCACCAATCTTGCAAAGACACACACAACAGCCACCCCTGTCTCAAGGGTACCCTAGCTATCACCGCTGTTGAAACTCACCACCATTTGCACACCAATATGTGAAGGCAACCCCCTTTCCAACGCTCCCTCCCGGCGGCAAGCCCATACCCATACACACAGGTCTCAGATACTCTCAGCGTTGCCACGGACACACAAGCTTAGGGACACAAAACCTTGTCCTGCATTTGGCATGGATTCTGGGCAGATGTTCATTCTTCACAGACACACCTGTAAAGGGGACACTCCCAGGCTGTTACAAACAGTACCCACTCCCCCTCCATTGTCCAGCTTGGAGGACATTAACACGCAGATTGCTGTGGGAGGGGCAGACGCTTGGGGGTAAAACCCTGGGATAGGCATCCTAGAGTGCTCAGGAGCCCCTCGTGCATTCTGCATAGCCCCGCCCGAGGTTCCAAGCCCGGCAGGCTGGGACACCGTGTTCCCAGACTGGCAGATGTTCACCCTGCCCGGGGTAATTAGGAACCCGCCTGGGCTGGCCACCCTGTGACCCAGGCCTTCGCTGTCCAGCTGCCGGACAGCCCATAAATGGGGGCGAGGGGGCAGCTGGGGCGGTGCCGTCAGCTGCGGAACCTGGCAAGGCGGTGGCAGGCTGGGTGCTGACGAGCTCAGTTCTCGACCAGCAGCCCCCACTCCCTAGGAAGTGTCCTTGCACTCACTGAAGCCGGCTCCTCCTTTTCATCCTCCCTCCCCCAGCTCACCCGCATCCCCACACACTTCCGACTGCTGAATTCCCGCAGGGGCTGGGGGCAGGCTTCCTGGGCTAGTTGATATGCTTACTAATTGTGACAACGAAAAATAACAAACATTTCTTGGGATTTCCTGTCTGGTGCTGGTATAAATGCCTTGTGCGTTTCATCTCATGGAATCCTTACAGGCATGCTAAGTTGGTCAGCTTACTATCCAAGTAGGGAAACTGAGGCTCCGATGTCACATCTCATCTTGTTCGTAGCACAGCTGGGATTTGGATCCTGGCAGTTTAGCGCGGAACCGGCTGTACCATCGTGTTTGTTTACACATGCCATCCCAACAGGCCCACACCTGTTTGTGCACACCCCAGGGAGTTGGAGTGACAAGTCTAGGCTCCTGGTGGGGTTCCCCTTATACACACACCCTGGCACACCCAGGCTCTGGGTGTGCACGGTCTGAACACTTTTTTTTTGAGACAGAGTCTCACTCTGTTGCCCAGGCCGGAGTGCAATGGTGCAATCTTGGCTCAGTGCAACTTCCGCCTCCCAGGTTCAAGTGATTCTCTTGCCTCAGCCTCCCAAGTAGCAGGGATTATAGGCGGGCACCACCAAGCCTGGCTAATTTTTGTATTTTTAGTACAAAGTAGTTGGAGGCTGGCCTCCAACTCCTGACCTCGTGATCCGCCTGCCTTGGCCTCCCAAAGTGCTGGGATTACACGCGTGAGCCATCACGCCCAGACCTGAACACCACTTTCTTTTTTTTTTTTGAGACAGTGTCTTACTCTGTCTCGGCTCACTGCAACCTCTGCCTCCGGGGTTCAAGCGATTCTCCCACCTCAGCCTCCAGAGCAGCTGGGACTACAGGCACCCAAACATCATGCCCGACTAATTTTTGTATTTTAAGTAGAGATGAGGTTTCGCCATGTTGGCCAGGCTGGTGTTGAACTTCTGGCGTCAAGTGATGCACCCACTTCAGCCTCCCGAAGTGCTGGGATTACAGGTGTGAGGCACTGCGCCCGGCCTGAACACCACTTTGACTCGTGTGTGTCCTCAGGAACCCCCTTTCTGTCCCCCCTAGCCAGCTCTGGCTTGGAACTTGCAAACTCCCAAGGTCATGCCCCATTCTGAGTCTCCCAAGTGGGGACAACAGCAGTGCAGGCAGCGGCAGAGGGAGAAGCGAAGGGCAGGGGATAAGGGGGTCCGCTAGGTGCCTTCCAGGCTTGTGTGCCCACAGCCTGAGACCGCTCTGGAGTCAGGATGAGACTTCAGGAGCCCCTCCAGCCCGAGTCCTCTGTCACCCTGCCCAGTAACCAGCCCCCCTGCTGCAGCCGTTTGCTGGGAGGAGCTGATGCCATCCCATGGGGGCAGGAATTGGGGGGTGGAGACTGTTAATCCCCAGTCTGGCAGGCCTGGCCTCTCCCCAGGGCGCCCACTAATTCCCAAACCAAACAGCAGGCAGCGCCGGGCCCACTGCCGGACTAATCCGCTCCCCACCAGCCTGGGGCTGGCCAAGGGGCCTCCCAGTTCCCACGCTCTGAGCCTCCAAGGAAGTGGGCAAATGCCTCTGCCTTCCATTCCAGGCTTCACAGCCCCAGCAGGGGCACCTAGGGATACCTTAACCCATACAGAATGAGACAAAGGTATCTCTCACCCAAGACACCCTCCTTCCAAAGTTGCCACAATGAACATGCATCTCTATTAGGTCTCTGTTGTGAATGGGCCCCTGTAGATGTGACACTTCTTTGCAGTGCACAATCTGTGCAACTGTACATAAAGGTGCTTACCTTCACCTCCCAATGTCAACAAATATAGCAGTTTAAGATCATTTTATTGAAGAGCAAGAGGTGGGAGAGGTAGGAGGCAACTACAGCTCCCCACCAGCCCCACCAGGGGGAATGGACCCCTCCCTGCCTCCTGCCCAAGTGGCTCCCCCTGTATTATGGGGGGGACTTTGTGCAAACTCTGCCCCGAGGGGGTGGGGAGGGTGGAGGGTGAGTGTGAAATGGCAGCGGTTGGGGCTGGCAGCTGTGCTACTGGGCACTGGGGGGTTTATAGGGCTCCAGGAGGAGGGCCGAGAAGGTGTTGACCTTGTCTGCCCCCCGCACCTCATGGGGTAACAGCGGCAGCTTCACGATGTGGAAGTCTTCATACAGGTCCTCCATCTGCAGCCAGGGCAGAGGGTAGAAGGCAGTGGTCAGGGGGCAGGAAGGCAGAGACAGTGTGGATCAATAGAAAGGGTTAAGCTAGGAAGCTTCCAGGGTCAGGGAGAGAATATAGGGCAGGAGCTTAAGGTGTTATAAGTGGGAGTTGGGTTAGTATAGCCAGAGATCACTGGGCTAGACCACCTGCTCTCCAGGGTCACAGGGATCTAGGCCAGGCCAGCCACAGTCCTCTATGGCCAGAATAAGGGTGAAGGATCTGAAATGTGGGGGCAAAGGGCAGGAGGCTAGGCCAGAGGGCCAGAAGGTGGAGCAAAAGGTCAGAGAATAAAGGGGCAGAGGTGCCTCTGTTGAGCCAGTGCTGGGTGGGTGGGCACACCTGGTCCAGATACTTGGCCTGGATCTTGTGGCGGGCCTCACACATCTTGCAGGGCTTCTCAGGGTCAGGGAAGACGAGCTGGTTGACAATGATATTGTGCGTGTCGATCTTGCACTTGGCCAGCTCCTGGATCAGCCTCTCTGTCTCATAGAGGGACAGGAACTCAGCAATGCATACGCAGATGAAAGTTGTCTGCTCCTACAGGGCACAAGAGAGGACAGTGAGGGGCGGGTTCTGCCATGGTCCTCAGCCCCCGGGCCTCTCACTGCCAGCCAGACCACCACTCACAGGGTCCTTGAACTGCTCGCTGACTGAGCGGATGACGGGCAGAGTCTCCTCTAGCTTGGAGGCCAGCTGGTCTGCGTTCATGTCCCCCAGGCCCAGCATGTTGCACATCTGCAGGGGGGATGTGGGAGGGCTCATAGCTTACCTGGGGCTCATTAAACCTCCTGGGTTGGGGGTTCACTAAACACCAGAGGGATGACTCCTGATACCTCCCAGCGGTTAAAGGCTCAGGCCCGTGAGCAGATTCCTGGGGTTGGTCAAATACCAGCTTTGCCATTTCTTTCTTCTTTTCTTGAAATGGAGTCTCGCTCTGTTGCCCAGGCTGGAGTGCAGTGGCGTGATCTTGGCTCTCTGCAACCTCCGCCTCCCGGGTTCAAGCGATTCTCCTGCCTCAGTCTCCCGAGTAGCTGGGATTACAGGCACGCGCCACCATGCCCGGCTAATTTTTGTATTTTTAGTACAGGTGGGGTTTCACCATTTTTGGCCAGGCTGGTCTTGAACTCCTGACCTCAGGCGATCCACCCGCCTTGGCCTTGTGAAGTGTTAGGATTACAGGCGTGAGCCAATGCCACCGGCCTCAGCCTTGCCATTTCTAGGGAA